AATAACCCATTCAATTCACTACAAAATGTAGTATTTGAAAAAATTTTCTATCGCTTTCTCCGTTGAGAACTATTTATCAGAGACTGTTATGGAGATAAATTGTTCCGTCCATGGGCGCCTGAGGACAACCCTCTCAAAAATTTTTGGTTCACGGACGTCCGAGTCCATAACAGTTGCCTAGCTTAATTTCGTTTCTTTTAGTTCTTTTATTTTCCAGTTCACACTTGACCACTCAAAAGAAAGAGAGGTGAAAATGGATGTTGAACTAAAAAATCATTTCGGAAATGTTTTTAAAGATTTTTCCTGAAAACCCAGGAAAAAATCGAAATTCTACCTGTAATTCTCCATTAAAACTCATCTTTTATACAATACAAATATCATATTCCGAATCAGCCTCGAAGTTGAGTCGAACTATATACGTTTTTATCCTATCCGATCACTTTTGTTTTTTCCAAATTTTCACATAAAAAACTATTGAGATTTTTACAAAAAAATGAAAACCAACGAATAGTTTTGAAGTATATATCATTCAGCTCAGTGTTTGAGGCTGATTCGGAATATGATATTTGTATTGTATAAAAGGTGAGTTTTGATGGAGGAAACTGAGAATTACAGGCAGAATTCCGATTTTTTCCTGGTTTTACAGAAAAAACCTTTAAAACGTGTCCGAAATGATTTTTGCCTAGAAGTTTAAATTAGTTCTCGACAGAGCCCGTTTTCCTCTATCCACACTGAACGTTGGAAGCCTCGCCCAATGCGGAAAGTGGGTCACAACTTTTGCATGAAAAATCGAGATTTCTCCTGAACGATTCAGTATTTTCAAATAGCAGGGACTGTTATGGACTTGTATGTCCAAGGGCGCTCATGGATCGAAAAATTTTGAGAGGGTCCTCCACGGGCGCCCATGCACGCAATTGTTCCGTCCATGGCGCCGGTGGACGGAAAATTTTCGTCAATAGCAGTCCCCCATAACAGATGTAGACAGTCTTTTTTCAGAAGGGCATGATGAATCAACATTTAGGAGTGGAAAAGTGTCTGCCAGAAGATGGATCGTGAATGATAATACGCCTTTTTTGTTAGTGAAAGAAGAGGAAGAAGTTCTATGTAATCAGACTTTTTAGTTCAACATCCATCTTCACCTCTCTTTCTTTTGAGTGATCAAGTGTGAACTGGAAAATAAAAGAACTAAAAGAAACGAAATTAAGCTGGGCAACTGTTATGGACTCGGACGTCCGTGAACCAAAAATTTTTGAGAGGGTTATCCTCAGGCGCCCATGGACGGAACAATTTATCTCCATAACAGTCTCTGATAAATAGTTCTCAACGGAGAAAGCGATAGAAAATTTTTTCAAATACTACATTTTGTAGTGAATTGAATGGGTTATTCAACCGCAAATTTTTTTTTCCCCAGATCCTTTTGGAAAGGCAGAAAATGCATTTTATTACACAACGTCACAACTTTTGCATGAAAAATAGAGATTTCTCCTGAACGATTCCTTATTTTCTAAAATTCTTAGTTTTCGTATGTTCTTAAATCCCGCTGGTACTATTGTGGAGCTTCTGATAACCTCCGTCTTAGATGCTAATACAACAACATGTACAATGATACATTGCTAGGCGCTGTATTATCGGGATAACGATAATTGGACATCTTTGAATTTGTTTCATTATATCTTTCATATTACACGTATAGGAATCAAATAGTAGTGGACAGAACGAGTTTCTGTTTGTTAAACTATTAAAATTAAACAGTCCTGAATGGTATTATATAGTGATGGGCAGTTTAGCGGCTTTGGTCAATGGTGCTATAGTTCCATTAGTGTGTGTCACATTTGGTAAAACAATAAATGTATGTAAAATTTTTCTTGTCGTAAAGAGATAATGAAATCTACAAACAATCGTTCCTCTTTTTGGTTACCATTAGCTGTTTCAGGAATCGGATAACAAAAAACTCTGGTATGGAATAAAACACAATTGTATATTACTGCTTGTATTTGGACTTGTTGCCTTCCTATCGAGAATATTACAGGTAATGATGTTGCTGTCTTCCGTATGTTGTATCCACGAAATTGAAACCTTTAGCAAAAGAGGATGCCAAAAGCCACCAGAAAGCGATCATGAGATACCCAGTATTCCGTGACACGACATTACCGCGAACCGCCATTATGTCGAAATAGACCACAGGAATTTTTTCCCCAGCTATATTAAAGATCGAAAAATTTTCCTATGGTCTATGTCGGCATCCGCTCATGCACTATGTCGACATGGACCGTAGGTGGCAAATTTTTCATATTTCTGACAGTGTGTAGTGGGAGGTTCGGAAGTTGTATAGTTATCAATACCCAATGTGTACTACGAAAAATTTGCCACCTATGGTCTATGTCGAGATAGTACATGCTCGGATGTTGACATAGACCATACGAAGATTTTTCGATCTTTAATATAGGTGGGCGAAAGTTCCTATGGTCTATTACGACATAATGGCGGTTCGCGGTAATGCCGGTGTATCTAGTAAGCTCGATGTCACGCCTGAATGATGAAAAGTGAAGAATCGGAAGGATTCTTATTTTAAACAAAATCAAGGCTTGTATGTCAACTTTCGGGGCTATGCTCTTGTTTCACTAAGATCTCCATAGTTACATATTCATCCATACACGGGATGATTACGTTGTCAGTTGACACAACTTTACTTTGAAATGCAACTAGCACGTTCTCTGTTCGACAGAATTTTTAAGAAGTTCGTTTACTATTTTTACTTTCAATCTTTAACTGATTAATATTATTGCAATAGCTGTTGTTAACCTGCCATTTGCACGACGTTCGTGCTCCACGCAACTGATGAATATCACTAGCTGGCATCCTGATATATTAGAGCTTTTTCTTTTTATAAAAATGATAAGTACGAAAGCAAAAGTTAAATAGACAAACGATTAACAAAATCTCAAAATCAGAAGTATCAAATAATCGTACCAAAAATTCTCTCCTGAATAAAAGACTTCTGCTGGGAGAAAAAAGCTCACTATGAAACCGCTTTTTGCTTACAGGTTCCATTTGGCTTCAGCTTTCGAAACCCTCAACTATGAAGTCGCAAAAAAGATCTTGTAGTCAAGTTAAGTCTCGTATGATACTACTTTAATCAAAGAACTAAGAATTGGTTTCTTATAGTGCCAACAAAAGTCTTCCGGGGTACTCGAGAGCGTTTCCTACAAAGCCTTTCTCAATTCAGAGTAGGTTTGTATGAACCCCAGTTTTGACCACGAGATCTTTCTTGAGACCTCAAAGTTGCGAATCTTGAGATCGAAACCAAATGGAAAAGCGGAGGCAAAATAACGGGTACATAATCCTCTTCCAGAATAGAAGATCAGATGGTCTTCTATTTTGTCAAGGGGTGGTCTTCTGTTCTGATAATTTCTTTCGCTTGCCTCTTTTGAAGAATAATGTGGTAACAATTTATTAAGCTTTTGTCTGAAAGCCACAAGTCCTCTGATTTTTTTATTTCCACCCGTTTTTCAAAAAAAGTTTTCATTAATACAGACTGCTATCTGAAATAAAGGACCGAGGATGTAGGCGAGGAACCTTAAAATGATTGAAGATATAGATTAACACCTGTGCTAAATCTTGTGATAACATCTGGTTTATTCTAGCAAAAGATAAAAACAAACTATTCTCAGAAAAAAAATCTCAATTTATCATGCCATCGTTCTACAGCAAAAACATAACAACTTCATTAGTACTTATTGAAAACTAATCAAGGATATACTCTTCAAGATGAAACAATCTGAGTAACACCCTAAAAATGTCGTTCAACACAATATACTACACTGTAATCTTAAATTATTTTCAATTTTATAGAAAAGCGGGTATAAAATCCCTGAGGATTTTCAACTTTATAGAAAATATTGATTTTCAAGATTCTTCAAAATCGAGTGGATTTTCTATAAATAATTGCCAGCATTCTTGAATCACCGTTTTGTTTTGCATCCTTGCGTAAATATAAGTGCGAATATATTCACACTTAGAATAACTTCGAATTCTTTTCCTTCTTGACCGTAGTTCCTCGTGGGAATTATATATAGAAAATCAAAGAGGGTTTTCTAAAAATCTGACAATCAGTCTTGATTTTCAAGAATGTTGGGAATTGTTTATAGAAAATCCACATCGATTTTCTTTAGATAATTCCCAAGAATCCTGAAAATCAAGGGGGATTTTCTAGATTCTTGGGAATTTGATTTTCTATAAAATAGAAAATCCTCCACGATTTCATATATGGGCTTTCTGAAAATTAGCGGCGATTTTCTATAAATAATTTTCAAGATTACAGTGTACCTGAGATTTTCAGAAACTCCTTGTAAGTCCTCTTCACGTTTGAGTAGATCTTCAGCTTCGAGAGCTAAATGATTGTATCCTTATGAATCTTATGGCCAAACCGTTTTCCTCTCTCAAATCTGTTTCTGATAGACAAAGTGTGTTCTTTCTAAGTTACAACTTATAAAAGGTAAAAAATATATTTTACTGTGGCGAAAAGTCAAAATTCAATTAAACTGATATCCTCAATGGACTCCGCATGTTGAAAAAACTTCTATGCATAGGTTTTGAGATTACTAGCTTCGCAATTGTACCCGCCAGAGATACTGTTCTTATACTAGAAACACGCTCATTTATAAAATGTCGAGGAATTCTATGAAGGAAAGGAATCAAATTTCTTGATAGCACGAACAAACAGAGAATATTACATACATACTTTTTTGTTCTTTTAAAAGAATTTATTTCTTTCGATATCTGGTGCTGAGCTAACAAAACGGCTGAGTGTTAAAGCATTTGCATCCATGTTGAAACAAGATATGGAATGGTTTGATAAACAAGAAAATCATAGTGGTGCTATATGTCAACGATTACAATTTGATGCATTAGCTGTACAAAGCGTAAGTGTCGTTTGTTAATACCCAAAAAATCATTTATAACCGTCGTCTATTTGCTTCTAGATGGCAGGATTTCGTATTGGTTTATTAATAGAAACGTCTTCAACATTTATTATTGGTCTTGGATTTTCATTTGTATTCAGCTGGCAGTTAACTTTGATTATTATTGCCTTTTATTTGCTTGCTTTTGCAGGTGTTTATCTACAAATATACACAGAATCTACATTATGTGAGAAAACATTCAAAATATTGAAGAAAGCATCAGTAGTAAGTTTCAATAAATTTTGTGAAACCAGGTGAGACATTGCACAATACTACTATATATGAGTGAATGGCATAGTCATTGTACCGTCTGTCAAAAAAAATTGTCTGGAAGAAAAATTAAAGTAGTGTTAAAGTGATTGATAAGTTGAATGTTAGTGTGATACAGGATCAGAAAAAATGGCTTTCCCCTACACTTTATCCACTTTTTTCGAAAAAACTTGATTTATTCTAATAATGGCTAAAATCCCCACGGTGGCTCCAAAATATAGTGCAGGTTGCCATTTTTTCAATAGCTCAATAACAGTGTAAGATAGAACATTACGATCTTTAGCAATCAAAAGCGGACATCTGAGGCTAGCTTTTCACAAGCAAAAACGATTATTGAAAAATTTTTGAAGGCGACTATTCAGCGGATCTTGGGAAAACCAGTTTGGATCTCTAAAAACGGACATTGAAATAGGTAAGTTTTTTTCATAGATATATAGTTCGAAGTGTCCTCTATAAAACTGGATCCAAGCAACATCTGGGAAATCCACAGTTCGAGAGCTATGGGCGTTTTTCCCGAAGCCTTAGGACTCCTCTGCCGTTAGGATTGGGACTGTTAGAAACGACTGTAAACATAGGTTATCGACTATGTTGAATCTCGTGGTAATGTTAGTTTTCAGAACAGACTGCAAGGACCCCGTGCAAACCTTTACTAAGTGAAATAACCCATTTCTGGCTTTTTTCATCAAAAATTAGAAAACTCATAACTCAGTCACAATTCATCCAATCTACTTCAGAATGTCAGGAAATACTCTATTTTATCCGATCATTTTGATTTTGTACTTAAAATCAATAAAAAAAATATTCTGTTAGTTTCGAAGGTTTCCCTAAAAACTTTTTAAAAACCAAAATATTTTCTGTTGGGTTTTCCTGCTTTTACTGAGCCTTGTGGTATACTGAAGATAAAATAGAGTATTTCCTGATATTCTGAAGTAGATTGGATGAATTGTGACTGAGTTATGAGTTTTCTAATTTTTGATGAAAAAAGCCAGAAATG